TCCTTCTTCTTAGTGCAGGCAGTAGTGGGATGGAATCTCAGCTAAAACGCGACAAAACGACTTGAAATCGCTACCAGAGAGCAAAAGTAGCCCAAAGAACACAATCTGTAGGATAGTGTTTATTTGCTCTTCAATTTACGGAGTTCCAGAGCAGAGCGTAAATTCCCATTCAAAGCTTTATAATATCGTCTTTTCGTGGAGAGTTTGTAAATATAATCATCTCATAGAGTTTAGGCCCCGGTGCGTGAGCACATGGAGCTACATTATCAACATAATTCAAGAAGTCGTCTGTCGTCGGCTGTAGGTTAATATGTGCTAAGTTTTCTTCCTTTTCGCTCCATCCTTGATCAAAATACACCCTAGTGTACTTCAACAAACGAATAGGAAATGTGCGAAAAATACTCGATTGGAAAGTAGAAATCCCGACGTTCAATACGAAAATGTTTTGTCGGAACGTGCGCTAATAGCCCATTTTCGAATTACCCTTGGCCTCAATTTCAAAATGAATCCTGGTGCTCATCCTTTCACAGGATTATACGTTTCATTCACATGCAAATTAAACTCATTTTCACAAGAATGGTTGAGCACCAGGCCTTGTTTTGAAAAGGAAGCCAAAAGTAATTTGAAAATTGCCTATTATCATCAGGGTGGTTTTTCCTTCATTTTGCTCCATTCTTCATCAAATTACATCCAATTTAAATTTTCAGCTCTAGTCGGACCATCGTTCTACGATACTTTGTTACTGTTTAGCCGTCATTTTATTTGAATTTTAAATAAAACTTGTTCTGATCCTGACTTGTTTCATCTTTTGTCTTTTGTTTTAGCACATACTGCTCCGGCGAACACTTATAAAGTTAATAATCAACTGGTTATTGAAGAGTATGTTACGCAATACATTGGGAGGACATAGAAAGCCAAGTTCTCGTCACCCAATAATTTCCTATTCTAATAATTTTTTTATTTCTCTCATTTCTTTGATTCATTTAGTATTTTCTTTTCGCCATTCTCTGAGGGATGTTAAAAAATGCTAGCGTTCTTCATTAAATACTGCCACATTAAATGCTTCTTTGGAAAATGGAAATAAATGAGCTGCTGAAATAAATGGAAATGACGAAGTTACGCGGGTGATGTTTCGAGCGTTGAGATTTAAAGAGAAAAAACATATTTTCTGTCCGTGAAATGTGTTTGTATGTTTCTCTTCCCTTTTCCTGAAGTGATCGAGACTCAAACTGAACAAGTCAGTGTAGACGAGGAAAAAAGAACCTAAAGAACCTTAACTTTGAAGTCTGCACGACCCTTTGATTAGTCTGTGAAAAATACGTGTAAAACCACTCTGTACGACTTCATCGAGCTGCTGGATAGAAAGAGGCGAGACCTAGAACCGTCACCATCAGGCATATCTCGATCAGGATTTTGTTCCTGATTTACCTATCATTTGACCATAAGGCGCTGTGAACGATACTTTAAGAAAATCAATTGTTTACAAAATAACTTGGTTTTTTTTAATATTAAATCTAAATATTTCCCTTGTGGACTGCCTCATTTACTGCAACAAATCTCAAATCAAGCCCGATATTAGACTGGCTGCTTTTAGTGTAAGTTTTGCTGAGGCACTCAAATAGTCTGCAATTTATCTATAACACTTTTAACCCTTTGAATACGAAAAAGACCATATTTTTTCAAGTGTAATTTGGCGATACAAACTTAACCTCACTTTGTTGGCCTTTATATGGAGCATCCGTACAATATTTGCGGTTTAGAGACACCATGGGCTCAGACCTTGAGGTCACATGACCTAGATCACCATTTCGTGTTTGGATGCGTTCAAATCGATTCGGTTTCTCGCTTTTCTGACCGTTTAGAAGTGTTTTTCGAGCCATTTTCCCTCTACAGAAGCCCTCACGACGGCATCATTAAGCTGGAATGTGGGTAGAGGCAAGCCTCTGAAGGAAAACAGAGGCGAGAGATGGTTCCATGTAGACTGGACCGTCAACGATGCTTTACTGCCAGCTTGGCGAGTTTACAAGTGGATTGTCTCTCGGGCCCATTTGTGGATGGCTTTCAGGACCTACCAAAGCGATGGGCCAAGTTTTGACCGGTAAAAATTTCAATCGATGCGATATTCTGCTGGTAGGACTGGATGGCCCGACACTTTATAATAATTCTTTGAAATGGAAATGACAGGAGTTGCCTTTTCGTGTTATGGCGGAATTACCCAGGATTCTTTTCGGGCATGAACAAGGCAACGGTTGTGTTCGCAACACTAGCTTTCATCAAATGGGCTGGCAGATAAAGTGAGAAGGAATTTTCTTGCCAAACTCCAAGATCTGGCCCTGAGGTGTGATTTAAACGCAAACTTTTGATTTTTTTAGCAAGTTTAGATTGACATGATTTTGGTGTTGCTCTTGGAGCAAAATGCTGGACTTTGGGATTTGCTGCCATACGAACGGTTCACTGCAATGAAAATCAGGAATCATTGTGGGCGTTTTAGGCTGCAATAGGTGTCACATCAACTAGCCGGCACAATTTATACACTTACATAATGTTGTGTCTTGAGTTCAACAAGAAAAAAGTATCAAAAGTAGTAACGGTATTATCTGGACATATGTGTTCACTTAGTATGCAAAGGGTTAAAAAATTCGGGGAGCAAACTGAACTGTCATATCGTTATTTCTCTTGAACGAGATATAGTCACGACAACCATTTCTTTACCGTATGAAAACTCGGTGAGGTGAAATATAGCTCGAACGATATATCACTGGAACGATATATCGCTTTGACTCATCTCTGACTTAAAGATAAATTGCTGGAGCGATATTTCACTGAAGCGATATATCGTGATGATGTTCCGCCCTCCTGCGATGTATCATGATCATCGAGCGATGTATCGCCGGAGCGATGTGTCGGAAGTTCAGAAGTACCGGTAACACAGGTTGTCGAATCGACGAGCTTAGCACGGTGTACTGGCCTTGTAAAGACTTTCTTTGCAGAAGTTTTGTTATATCTCATGAATATTCATGTAGGTGTGCGCATGCTCAGTTTGGCGAATCTTTGCCATGTGCTCTGCTCGTTCGACATGTTGGATTCAATCGTTGAGTCCTACAGTCTTGCTTACACACTTCCTTCCAATAACGCGAACTCCCATATACAACAAAATTCGAGCGTTAATCCTTTGTCAGAGCGACTGATTTATTCGTTCTAAGAGACAATTTACTTCCTCAACTCAGTTAATAAAACCAAATAATCTTGTACTACCCCCACCGACGCAGCACTACAGTTTTTCTAAAAACTTATCGCCTTTATTCAGGAGTTACAACAAGTCTCCCCCGCATTTTAAGGAAGTCACACAACGCTTATTCGCACATCGGGACGGGAGGGAGTCAGCGTGATGTGACATCCCATACGGAACGACGGCGAAGGAGACCAAGTTGAAATTGTAAACATTTCGTCGATATAACAATAATAATAATAATAATAATAATAATAATAATAATAATAATAATGATAATTCATATAGCGCAGACCTCTATATGAATGAATTTAGTCGCACTTCACAATATCGTAAGTTAAAATTATGGCAAAAGTAACTAAGATATATGAACCTATTGGAACCTACGAGTCTATGCACTCAAAGAGAACAATAGCCTAGCTAAGTGAATAAGAAAGATGAGTAAAAATAAAAATCTATTTGAAAGCTAGATTAAAAAAATGAGTTTTGATAGCAGTCTTGAAAGTGTCCAATGTCTTTATGTTACGAACTGTCGAAGGTAATGCATTCCAAAGATGAGGTGCAGCTGATTGGAAGGCATTTATTTTGGAGGTTATTTGGAGGTTATGATATCTTCTCTTTATTAAGTAGATATTGAGTTTGTTAAGCTTCATGTCGTTTATTTTCATCAGTCCAGGTCCTGGTTGAATGATGAAGTTCACCATTAAATTTGACAGCCTTGTAAGATGTATAAGACCTGCAGATTGTCTACTTTATTTTTGCTTTAGAATTCTAAGTTTCATAATTAAGTGAGTACGTTTTATTAATGTTACGAGTAACGGTTCTTCGGGTAACTCAACACCACCTCTCACAACGCGTGACGCTTTCATGAAATAATATTTCGATTTTCCTCGAGAAGTGAGAGTGGGACACCCGGGTAAAGTCACACAACTTGCGCGGTTACCTTTGACCGCTGTTTAAACAGAGACGGTACAGTGACTGGATCCCAAATAAGATCGCAACACGTGCGAAATGCATGGCATTTAGGCTGTAACGTATATAAATCAAAGAACGAGAGCAACGTGATTTTATCTGAAGTGCTACATCAGTGCATAATCATCAAGTACCTTAAATAAAAACTATCAAAACAGTGTGTGCTCTTTGCAATCTTCAATAAGGTTTTTGTCTGTTGAAACAAAAGCAATTTGTATCGAGTGCTGAAAGTAACCGGGGATTGCATTTACTTTAGTATGCTCTGATTGGTCCAGAAAACGCGCGCCACCTCCTCCACCCTATCAGTATACTCAGTGAAAACTGTCATCAATAATGGCCCTACTTCCAATAATACAAGTATATCTACCGGTAACTTAAGACCAACGTAATTGCAAAAAGCCGCAGATGAAAAGCACAAAGCTAGGAACCAAAAATTAACTAAAAAATTTCCTGTAATATTAACTTAGCAGTTCTTGCCAGGGATAAAAAAAGGTTTGACGTCCAAGAACTAACCCATGACAAGGGTTTAGCGAATTGGAATAAAGATGACCTGCGCTAAGTAGCCTGATAGTGTGGCACACTGTAAGTAAAGTTGTGGTGATAACTATAACAACGGAACTACCTTGGTTAGGATGTAGATAGCGTTCCGTTAACAGCACATGCGGAAGACGATTGTTAAATAAAACGGCCACCGCCAATCCAGGATTAAAAGTTAACTGACCTTGGGTCAGACTGCTGTTGTGCGAAGAGTATCAGTTTGGAAGTTTTACTAAACTAAGGTTCCAACGGTGGGCCGACCTCAACTTGAATGAAGAGTGTCATTCACAACGTAGCGCCTAGATTCGAGTTTTGTTTGAGATATAAATGAAGGTACCCCATGTGCACTGGAGTTATATTGGGTTTTAGGCCTTGCATAGCTGTTTGGATCATTGTCTGGTATGATCTCTTCGAAAACATTTTCCCTTTTATCCGTATCTTCCTGTTGATCAATGAGAGTAAACTTCACTTTCCTCTTGAAAGGCCAGGGTAATATGGCGTCATATTGGCCTCCCATTACACAAATGTACACGGATAGGTACTTCCCCTTTGCTGCTTGAGAGCCATTAGGAAGTATTCTCACATTCAGCTTATATCCATACTTCTCTGTGTAGAATGGAGCACTCTCCACCGATGTCTTCTCACCGGCCTTGGCTTCTCTCACAAGTTTACTGAACTCGTCAATCTTCCAAATAGATAAAGGCTGATAGTTTCGAAAGAAACTGTTTGGGGCTGCGTCGGTGGGAGCAACGAAATAATTTCGATATATCAACAAAATTGAAATGGTAAATTGGCCACCGTAACGATTACAAAAGCTGACGTTTCGAGCGTTAGCCCTTCGTCGGAGCGAATAAACATAGCCCTTCGTTGGAGCAAATAAACATAGAAGGAAAATCACTAGATTCACTTTTCACCATTACCATTTTCTCTTCAACTCTCTTTGTAGTGTCTCGAGTTCCCTCTTTAAATCATCTGTTGTCTTCGTTGTGTTAACCAATTGAATTTTTGTTTTACTTAATTCAGTTGCTGTTTCCTGCAATTTATATCGAGTCTCCTCCAACTTCAGTGCTGTGTCTGCAAATTTAGATTCTGTCTGATCCAATTTCGACTGAGTATGACCTAAATTTTCTTTTGCCTCGTTTAACTTAACAACAGTTAATTCAAGATGGATTCTTACAGCAGATTGGAGGTGAGATTCCACTGCTTGACGCTTAACCTGTAAAAAAAAGTTAGAATCTTTCGATTAATCAATGGAAATTTCTCTATATCCTAAGGTGAAAACATGTCATAATGCTATACAAGTCAGATTTGCATTGGCCAGCAAGAATTCAGTTACACATTTCCTTGACATATAAACAGTTCCTTTAAGTTACAAATACAGCTTTTCGTTGTCAAGAAACATTGTTCGTATTTGTTCAGTCACATAGCATTCAAGGTATCAACTGGTCAATTAACAGTCGCTATTTGCAAACTAATTAGACAGGTTTTTCTTTTTTGGAGTAAATAGCTAAAGTCGAGGAACAGCTTTGCAATTTGCAGTTAATAAGAAACGCTATTTCGTCTTCCTGTTGACTCAAGGTGGCGTATTCCGCACCTTGCTCGCTTACCAAATTTAGCGGCTGTTTTGAGTATGATTAGTTGCCGATTAAACAGTGAAATGCTTTCTCCTAACTCAAAGTTTGCAAGGTGTAAAGATCACACCTGTAGAGATATTTCTGCTGGAACCTCTTAGATGTTCATGCATACGCAGACGATGACTAGTTATAGATAATAATAATAATACTAATAATAATAATAATAATAATAATAATAATAGTAAGGTTTTTATGAGCGCATTTAAGAATGTGATTGCGCTTACATAGCATAATAAAAATAAAATATCATGATACTAACTGTCAGTAGTACCTAAACTAACAAAAATAAAGTAAATGGGATAAAAACCTATGTAGTGTTTCACTATACTAAAAATAAAATTTCCGGAATACGAATGTTTTAAGGGCAGATTTAAAAGACGAAAGAGAAGCTGCAGATTTAAGAGAATCAGGAAGAGTATTCCATAGTGTAGGTGCACAGAAGGAGAACGCACGTTCACCGTATATCACAGAATTCATAGTGGGGACAGTAAGAAGTGAATTGGAAGATGAACGTAGAGTACGTGATGGATAATTTTCTTGTAGTAGGGACAACAAATAGACCGGAGAAAGTCCATGAAGAATCTTAAAAGTAAGAAGAATAACTTTAAACATTATACGTGATTCAACTGGCAGCCAGTGTAGTTTTTGAAGAGCAGGTTTGATGTGATCATATTGTTTAGATCCGGTAACAAGACGTGCTGCGGTATTTTGAACTCTCTGAAGTTTGTCGAGTTCCCGTCTCGGTAAACCATAGAGGATACTGTTACAGTAGACCAGTCGTGATATTACGAGAGCATTGACTAATAGTTTAAGGTTTTCAGTAGTGAGGTACTTACGAATGCGCCCTATGGATCTGATGGCATTAGTTGGTTTTCTGCATGTCGCATTAATGTGGTATGTCAGTGTTAGATTTTTATCGAAAATAACACCAAGATCAACGACTTTCTCAGTTAGTTCAATGACGGTACTGTCAAAAAAGAGCTTCTCAATGTTAGGTGTCTTGGGAAATCGAGAGGTGAATAAATAACTTCCGTATTTTCAGCATTACTTCTTAGCATATTTTGGGTATTCCATCGCATTACTCCTCAATGCAGCCGTTTGGAGGGCACTCATAGATGGGGCCCGATTCGCAGGATCGATAGTAATAAATAATTTAGTGTCATCGGCGTAAAACAAAGAGTCGAGATTGTGGCGAGCAATGACATCTTGCAGAGGGGCAATATGCAGGGCGAAAAGTAGGGGTCCAAGTATGGAACCTTGTGGGACACCATAACGAAGAGCGCGAGGAGTGGACACTTGATCTCTAATAATTATTGATTTACGACGGTTTACAAGGTATGACCTAAACCAGTTCAACGTCAGTTGTGAGAAACCAAAGTAAGATTCGAGTCTTTCCACCAGGATCACATGGTCAATGGTGTCAAAAGCCGCCGATAAATCAAGAAGGACTAATACAACATCTCGAAGGCGGTCATTCGTTCTCAGAATGTCATTCGTCAGACGGAGCAAAGTTGAGTGGCTGATGACAAATTACACACTCTTCTTCAACCTTCGAAACAAACTCACCATCATAACCTGAGGGTAGCTGAATTCCTGAGGTTTTCGCCGTTTTAGATGAGAGCCTCATGTCGAAAAGCAGTAAAGAGAAAACGACAACGCCTTCAGATGTAAAACCTCCGCAATTAACTTCCAGGAAAAGTCGGGATAGACTATCAATAGCCTGTGAGAAGAGGGGTAGGGTAAGAGTTTGTTTTTGGATTTAAACTGGAATCTGTTTTATGTTCACCGTAATTACATGTATCACGAAATAGATCGGATGATAAACTGTGGATGTTTTCGACTTTAACCTCGCATAAGTCACTTCTACGCACCTTTTTTTTATCTTTAGCCTCCTCCCTCTCCCCTCCCCACTAATATGTTTTGATGTTAGCATGCCGCGTGGAACTCTTGGAGTGATGCAGTTGATAAAGCAGCTCTCCTCACAAAACAATTCCTGTAAGTTTCCTTCATCCTTTTAAAATTATTTATTTTCTTTCAATACGTTTTCCTCGCATGCGGTTGATTATAAGCTGGCGCACCTTCAATGATGTTCCTCAAGGCATTCTTTACAAACAAAATCCTCGGACTACAGCTTTGCACTTACTGCGCAACCGCAATGGACACAGAAGTTATTCTGCCGAAGATCTCTGGCGATGAAAACATTCTTACCATAAATGGTTGGGGAAATCTCAGTATTATAATTAGCAAAGCACTAAATTATTAGCTTCGCTCAATAATAAAGAGAAAAGAAAAACACACTTCATCTCTCGTTATTTTGTTTTAGAATGAAAATGATAAATCAAATATAAAATATAGTCGTGTGATGATGTTAATTGGGGCGTTGAGCTGATTGCAAAGAAACAGTGATGAAAAATGATTTCTTAAGCGGCATTTGTTACAAATCATAACCGCCTCCCGGTTAGCTCAATTGGTAGAGCGCCGGACTGTTGTGCGGGAGGTCGTGAGTTCAAATCCGGCCGGACCAACACTCAGGGTCTTTAAATATCTGAGAAGAAAGTACTGCCTTTGTAATAATATCTGCAAATGGTTAGACTTTTTAGTCTTCTCGGATAGGGAAGATGAATGGAGGTCCCGTCTCACAAGCCCTTCTATGTGAAAAAATTTGTGGGACGTTAAAGAACCCATACACTGTTCGAAAAGAGTAGGGCACGTAGTGTCTCCTGTGTTGTGGTCTATCTTTGTGTAGTGTCTATCAAAATTGATGGGGGGGGGGGAATACGCCTTTGAATATTGTATAGAAAGGGTGCAATATAAATAAGGAATTCATTCATTCATTCAAAACATGAAGACATTTTCTAGAGTGTTGGAGTTCATTACTATACGAATGATGACATAAAATATTTCATTTTGTGCTGTGAATGAAACATTTTCTTTGTGAACAGTTGCTTTTGTTAACTGACGTTTCCCATAGCAATTTGTTGGCCGGATCAATTATGATCTATTAAAAAAAGAACATAGTTCGCATCGTCTGATTGGTCAATTCAGTTTCCAAGCGAATCAAGTGGGTCAGGTTATAGAGCCCCTATGTAACTGGTTACGTCATGAAACAAAAGAAATCAATTTATCCGGGCTCTATAACGTGATGAAGCCACTTGGGATGTTGGAAGAACACTATTTCTATTTCCTTTTAAGGAATCTGCTAATGCTTATCAGGTTCATAAAAAGAGAGCTAAAAATCAAACAGTGCTTCATAGAATGAACAACGCCACAGCTGAATTAATACAAGGACTAACAGTTAAGGAAAAATGGAAATGGTGCGTAAAAATCACAAGCTAGTGACAGCAGATTAAACTATTAGAGTATCTACGAAGACAAGCAATTGATCCTAGTCTGTTCTGTGATTGTGCGATATGTTCGTCCTGGAGGAAGCACTGAATTGGGCTTCGAATTTCATCTTGATTTATATACTTTTCGAAGAAACATTAAAAGATAGAGGGATTCTGCTTTTCATTTAGGTGCAATCAGGTTTTCAGTCCTATTTTCGGAGCAGAAAGACACTGTTATCCTTTAGTAATACAGTGTTTACCACATTTAATTTTCCCGCGGGATACCGTATTTCAAATATCTTTTAATCAGACCATATCTGTTTAGCGTTTTGACAAAACAACGTATTTAATGCCATCTTCAACACTCCCTCTTCATTGAAAAAAAAACCCTTTTCTCCAGTGGTCCTAAAAAACTGCTCTTTGAGCTCTAACTTATAGTCAAGGCTTCACTGGCTAGCGAAATAAAGTGGTAACTCATCGCTTGATGATTTTAGGATGAAAATACAGTAGCTGATCGTAACATACCAGCTGGCACGTAATCATTCTAGCTGAACTGAGCTTTGGGGAAAAAATACATTTACCTATCAGACGGCGTGTGGTTTAAGTCGCCATACTCTCGTTTAACTAAAGGCGAAATTTTGCAAAATTTCGGAAGGTAATCTCAACTTTAACATCTATTTCATTTAATTTTTTGACAATGCAATTTGTAAGAGGCAGAGAAGTATTATCTTTATTGTTTATGTATTTCGACGCGAGCGCCTTAAAAAAAGTTTGCCAACAATGTGGAGCCGCAGTTAGTTGACCAAAACTAAGAATAGCTCTTGGCTCTATATTTTCTTTCTTTCTTCCTCTTTTCGTCCTGTATCCTTAGGCCTGAGTAAACGAACTTAGATTTAGAAAGGACTATGTTGCCAGAAAGTTCTAATTTAGGCGAACTTTAAGACAGATGAAAAAATCCTGCAGCCTGTTTATAAGGAACAAACATGGACAAGAATTACTATTTGGAGATCCTCACTGCTTTGGAAAAAAGTAACCCATTTTGTGATATCACTCCTCTTCATTCACACGTTACTTTCGGGGGACAAATATAGTAGCTGTTTCAGGTAATCAATATCTTTCCTTTATTTGTTTGCAGTATTTTTCCCTGTTACGTGTAGGAATGACCAAGAGATGTCCGCTTACAAAGCATACATAAAAATAGACTCCCGAGTACGATATAAGGCACGCAACAAAAATGCAACAACAAGCAGTTACCCATTTCAACGATTATTTAGTTAGTTTTACAATGCTTAATTTACTTAGGTTACAGATTAAGTTAAGCAGTTCATAAAGCAGGCTTACAATCCTTCATGCCGTAGAAGTATCGTCGTCTTGATCAGCTTCGAACCCCAACTTCCACCGCAGGACTGAAGACCACAACGCTTGGCTTTCTTGATTCATTGCATTCTTTCCGTGTACATAAACTCTTCCAGAGGACTTCTTAGTGAACCCTATATTCTTTATCTTCTTCCTCTCTCGGCTATCGTCTTTTTCTTCTCTTTCTTCTCTCCAAATATCGTAAGGTCAAAAGGTCATAGCCTCGTCACATCATAGCTTCCACAAGTTCAGTCAGCCGGCCACGAGGGTAAGCCCTCGAGCAAATCTCTCTTGTACTTCTCACAAGCCAGCTTTCATACATTTACTTTAGGTATCTAGAATGTTCTATTACTATTTCTAGCGTATTAAAAGTTGTACTATTTTTGGAAACTGCTGAGTCACATAAAAGATGTTTCTGGAATCACAGGCTAAAGATGATTCTAGAAAAGTCTTGGATTGCGAGACAGATTCAGTGAAAATAATTCGATCCTCGTAACATCCCCCAGTAACTTACCTGAGAGTGTAATGGTTGTCAAACATCGATCTTTCCAAGAAGGGTCTCACAAAATTTTAGTCCAACTAATAGGTCGCGCAGTTTCGAATTTTGACCAGCTCTTTAGGAATTGCGAATAATATAGTGTTTCTACGTCATTCTTATTTTGACACGATACAACGGATACCGCCGAGGCCACTCCTGATAACTCGGAAGGAATAGACTCGAAGATAAATTAAAAAAAAAGAAAACTTATTGTTGATAATCAGTTTATAAATGTTCGAGGCTTGAGAAGCGGAGTTGAAGTCGACTGACTCAGCAACGTTTGAAAAATTTCCCTGAACTCCTTCCTTCTAGCGGAGCCGGTTAATTTCGCTTTCTGTTCACCCAACGTTTTTTGCAAAAGTTCTTTCGCCCATAACTTATCCATCATAAGGCAGAGGGGGTTTCAGTATGGGAATGTGAATTAATTCATTTGTGTCCTTGGTGTTACCTTCGGGTAAATCACTGACAGGGCGCTACTTCCATCGAACAGCATTGAGCACTGAGAACAGAAATGAGAACTTCATGCAAAAAATCGAACGCTGTCGGCAGTGTAGAAAAGATCCACGAATGAGAAACATTGCCACTGAAATAAATCACTTCCTGGATAAACCTTTTTGGACATGAGCGTATGCGACTGCCAGCACTTAATACAATGATCAGCGGATTCAGAAAAAGTTTAAAGGAAGCGAAGGAAGAACGAAAGGAGGGAGCAAATGTTCCATCCATACCTGTATCTCTTTGGCATATAAAGCTCTGCTTTCATGTCCAAATTGAGCACTGTGGAATGAGTCATTGCCGCTACCATTACGCATAGCTCACTAGGCTTTCCTAGTTTGAGCACTCTGGCATGGCTTAGACGATACCTCAAATGTGGGATCGTTTGGGGTGACCATATCGGTTCTCCCCCATCTTAGCATCAGCACTGCACTGATGAGGCCCAGAAGGCCAAAAGAGTACTGTCTGCAGTACGTTATATATTTGTTTACAGTTATATATAATTGTTTACAAAGCTCCATGATTGTAGAGCACTCTCCGATTCAAGGATAAGGTTTTTTACGTTTTTAAATCTGTATATAGATATACATATATAATTATACTTCAAGATCTAGGCTACTTTAACTTTTACTGCAACTCTGAGTTTTCAAGCAATCGTCAGGCAACTGCCAGAAATAACGGTTAAAATCCACCGAAATTTAAAAGACAGAACAATGTGTACATGCGCGCGCAATATACTACACGCGCAATCGTAACGTTACGTTCTTTAACAGGAATTTCCTGACATGTCTGCAACGTGATGTCAACTAATTTCTCTTGTTTAAGCTCGCCATTTGCGGTTTACAAATGATAAAATATTACCCCAAAAACACAAATTGCATCTCTTAGCTATATTGGAATAAGAACTAGCTTGTTTCATTTTGCGCCACTTAATATTAAACTTAGTGTTCTTGTCCTTAAGACTCCATATATATTTACTAAGTTCAGTATGCACGTACAGGGGGATGTTGCCTTCCTTAGTGAAAGGGTAATACTTCCCACTTGAGAGGTCAAGCGTGACGTCCAGAAAATTGGTTTTGGTGATGTTAGCCTCGACTGTGATTTTTAATTTATTGTCGCGGAAGACTTTGCAAAAACCTTTCTTGATATTCTCTATTTCCTGCGGTGTTCCATTGAGGGCAGCCAAACCATCATCTCGGTATAAACCAATATTTTGACCATACTTCTCAGTAAGAATTGATGAGAGAAAGCATCCAACCAGCTCACACGTTTCCGCTAGACCTATCGAGCACTTTTTAGTAGATGATGATCTCATTCCGCTATTTTGGTTATATATATATATATATAAATGTGAGGGTCGAGCCTGTATACTCTCCGAGTAAAAATTGTAAAGATTCGCGGTTGAAAACTTGTTACCGGAGTTATCAAAAGGGGCTAAGATGGGAGTTAGAAATTGTATCCGAATATGCTAAAATGAGGTAGGGGGGTCTGAAAGGCCAGCGGCATTTAACCAGTAAGAATTGACCCAAAACCATCCCTCAACCCCTGGAGAATGAAGTCGTAAATAGGATAACCTTTAAACGACAAAATGTCCACACTATTAACCGTCAACAGGAGCACATCAACCTTAAAAATTCAACATCTTTTACCGTTAAATGTCGAAGAAACTAGCCAATACAAGCCGTCAAGTTTCTCTGACATTTCTTACTGTAGACTAGATGGTCGTTGGCGTCTGATCCATTTTCATAGCATTTCACATCAACTGGTCAACCTTTTAGTGATTCGAGCCCATTCTGTTAAGAACTGATCGTATGATAAACTAACCTTTGTTTAGCAACCCATCTGAACATAAGAACAGCACACTATGGTGAGTAAACATTCCTCTTTGATATGACTCGGGATCTACATGTAAGAATAAAATCAACAACTAAATTTGAAAGAAAGAAAAGAAGCAATCAATCCATAGTTTAAAAAAGAAAGGTGCGAAACGTAGTATTCGTTTTTAAACAGCTATACATTTCACATGGATTCTTTGGGTTGCGCCACAGATGTCTTTATTTACATCATTGCCTCAAGAGAGAAAAGATGAATAAAATATGTAAGCCAATAAAATTTTGAAGCAAGAAAGCGCCCAGTTTACTCGAAGCAGATACTTTTCACTCTCGCTTGACAGTTTTTCATTCTCTTAACTCTGGAAATAAAACGGAATTCGTACCATTTCCCTGGAAATTGTAAGACCACAACTGTTTGGACAAGTTACTGGGAGCTTGAGACACCTTTGAATGTGAGAACAGTTTATTATAAGTTAATTTATTCTATTTTCACTGCATTAACTAAATTCCATAAGAAAACAATTAACTACCTACTAAGAACTAAAAGACCAAAAAACAAACAACAAAAAACAAAAACAAAAACAAAAACAAAACAAAAACAAAAACAAAAAACAAAAACAAAAACAAAAACAAAAAACAAAAACAAAAACAAAAACAAAAAACAAAAACAAAAACCAAAAACCAAACCAAAACCAAACACAACCACAAACACAACCACAACCGCAACCGCAACCGCAACCGCAACCGCAACCAAAACCAAAACCAAAACCAAAACCAAAAACAAAAACAAAACCAAAACCAAAACCAAAACCAAAACCAAAAACAAAACCAAAAACAAAAACAAAAACAAAACCAAAAACAAAAACAAAAACAAAAATTTGCAGTGGGGAAGGACTAGAAGGGAACATACGAACCATTCGAGCTAGTCCACCAAAGTTTCTAACATTTTTCGCAGTGGCAAGTCCTTTTGTAATTAAAGCACTGGAAATTTTACTCATCATGATGCTATTGATACTGTGAATGTATGTCTGTATGTATTTGCGATATTAAGACACGCTTGCCCAGTTCAGCTTAAAAGTGTTCTAAATGGGGGCCTGTATAAACAGTAACAAGGCCGCACCACAATACCGGAAGTTAAGTTCCCTACTCTTTGCGAGAAGTACGTGGATTCTTCAACGTTCCCTGCAAACCAATACAGAGAGGTGCAGGCGACAGGGCCTACGGTACATTGTCCTTATCCGAGAAGACTAGAATGTCTAACCATTTGCGGATGTCATGGTAAAGGCAGCACATGTTCCGCAGTTATTTTAAAACCCTGAGTGTTGGTAAGGTCTGGGGCTTGAGTCTTCGACCTCCCGCTCGGCAGTCCGGCGCGATCATTGGGCAGAATGCCTACTGTTCTCACAACATTTACTTGCAGTGGTGAAAATGTTATAGATCTGTGGTGTAAGTCGCGAAGCGTAAACAGGGAGGCTCTCATTGGTCAAAGATCACGCGCGCTTTCCTCCGAGGGGAATACTTCCTTAGTTCATTAGGGAGCTTAAGCACCAGGCGTTTATGATTCATGGAGGCGAACCGGAAGTGAGCTTTCGAATATTTTTCCTTCTGGGCATGTCAAAAGGTCGTCGTGATTTGTCACGACGGCCACCAAGGTGCTTGTGGTCTCCGTGCTGATTTTTCACGACCGCGAATGGTCTAGATTGTACGTAGCAAAAAAGCACAACGTTTTCAACACCAAAAAGAGCTTCTGAAAATGGATTCGCACGAGGAAGGGAAAGAGAAGTCTTTGCCGTACATTTTCATTTGTTTTTGTGTTCAAATTCATTCGGGAGCTTGTCTGCCGAAAGTTGTCTTGCCACACTTAAGAGGCCGTGACTGTAAATATCGCGAATTGCTGGCCAGGCTAAAAAAATCGAAAATTCTGATAATTTGCCTGGAAAACCCCTTTAGGGAGATATATTAAAAAAAAAAAATATTTCAAAGTTTGAAAAATAAAATGTGTCCGAGGAAATGTGGAAAAACGAAAATTCGGGTTTTTACCTAATTAATTATGCAAAAAATTCAGTAAAATTGAGCAACTTTAGCGTGCTAGTACTAAAGGAGGATGTTTTGTAAGAAATCGGGGGTGTTTTTAATTCAAAGTATAATTAATGTGACTTTTATATGTGCCCTTTTAAGGAGCTTTGGTTTAATTTTAAAATTCACATGATTTTTTAACTAAGTGCTGTCAAACGCTTGTTGCAAAAAGCGAAAAATCGACCAGCTTCAAACCTTCATAACATGTCTTGGTTTGTGTGGCATCATGTCAAACTACATGCTGGCACAAAGTTTGGTCCTTATACTAAAATAAAATGTAATAAAAAATTTGGGTAATTTAGAAACGTGCCGGCAAAACATAAAGCTTTGCGACACACTGTGGCCAGAAGTCACGAATTTGCATGATTCAAATCACGGTAGAAATCGTACCGCCTAACGGTTCTGGTGTAGGAAGGGCTCTTTGACGGCTTCACGGCTTCAACATAAAATGTACAAGAATAATGACCAGTATTTAATAGCATTTAATTCTTTTTCAAGCCCCCCCCCGCAAAAATTACGGGGGTGGGGAACATATCCCAGGACACCCTATCTAGCAGTCTTTCTGAACCAAGAAAGCCGTATTAAGAAACAGACAAAAGGAGGCTCTCCTCGGAGGGGAGGCCCCGGGACCCTCATTGATAAGTTGGTGTTAATAAGCTCACACTACGCGGGAACTAAAATAGCTCCTCCGATCTAAAATATGCTCCATGGCCCCCATTTTATATCAACGTTCATATAAAACTCAATTTTTTTGATGCAGCCTTTTGCCATTTGCCTTTTGAACTGC